CAAGTGCTGCTATTAAAATACATAGTGTACAACTATATTATTATAATATTATCATTACGACAAGTGCTGCTATTAAAATACATAGTGTACAACTATATTATTATAATATTATCATTACGACAAGTGCTGCTATTAAAATCTGCAGTGTACAACTGTATTGTTATAATATTATCTAAGAAGACTGTATTGTTATCTAAATCATTAGCATACACATACAGTTATCCTAATCTATATTCTAATAATATTTTACGGGTATCGTTTTCGAAATTCATTGTTTTCTACATGCTTATAAGTATGTGTTATCCAAATCTGTTATTTATTACTGCCTTACAGGTGCTGTTATTTAGATAAGTTGTACACAACACTCTTATAGGTAATGCCATCCAGATTAGTTGTACACAACACTCTTATAGGTAATGTCATCCAGATTAGTTGTACACAACACTCTTATAGGTAATGCCATCCAGATTAGTTGTACACAACACTCTTATAGGTAATGTCATCCAGATTAGTTGTACACAACACTCTTATAGGTAATGCCATCCAGATTAGTTGTACACAACACTCTTATAGGTAATGTCATCCAGATTAGTTGTACACAACACTCTTATAGGTAATGTCATCCAGATTAGTTGTACACAACACTCTTATAGGTAATGTCATCCAGATTAGTTGTATACGACACTCTTATAGGTAATGTCATCCAGATTACTTGTATACAACACTCTTATAGGTAATACCATCCAGATTAGTTGTACACAACACTCTTATAGGTAATGTCATCCAGATTAGTTGTACACAACACTCTTATAGGTAATGTCATCCAGTTTAGTTGTATACAACACTCTTATAGGTAATGTCATCCAGATTACTTGTACACAACATTCGTCAAGATATTGTTATCCAAGTTACTTGTTTGCAATATATTTCAAGACAGCATTACTAATTTTATTATTTATTTGTTACATGTGCTGTTATCCAAAACAATAATGAAACATTCTTACTGCTAAGTTTATCCAATTATATGAAACTGTAATTATTCTCTTTAGAATGAAGGAACATCCAACCTGGTGTACCACATTCATTCAATGCTGTAGTTGTTGTCTCTGGTGTTTTGAAAAGTTCTTGGTTTTTTTAAACCGAAATGCTTTTATTGAAGTTGGTAAGTGATTATTTCTGAATTTAGTTTTTGAATAGTTGAATCTTTGATTACAGAAGTTAGAATATCTAGGTAAATATAACTGTTTTTATCACTGCAGTGAACATTAATATCTTTAAATACGGTAGTACTTAATAGTAGAGATCGTGATTAAACAAAATGTCGGCCATAAAAAATGCCCGTTTAAAACCAACTTTAAAATGTCTGAATATTAACATTGACTATTTCACAGTATTGGCTAATCAAAGCTAAAGCTTATTTTATTTATAAAGCCGGCTAAATCGTTGTATACGTGTTTATGGAGTGAATCAATTTCACTATTTCAACGAATTTTTATCTAAGTAAGTAAGTAAGTGACTTTTCCAGACAAGCGTATAGAGAATATGACGAACCTTATCGCTCTAATTCTTTTACAGAACTATTCCGTCTAGGTTCCCAATGATTCCTCTTGTACTGAAAGGATACTGGTACATATCAATGTATTTGTAACGTAGCTAGCTATAGTAATATACAAAGTTTTAATACTACAAAAAGTATTGAATCAAGGAAGTCAAAATTACACAAACTGATTTACTTAAAATGTAAAAATTTTTATCCCAACTTTGGCAAATCACTGTAATTATGTTAGTCTGAGCTAAAGTAGGAATAACATTTAAATTTTAAGTAATTCAGTTTTTGAACTTTACTCTCTGGTTTCAAGCAATCTAATACTTTATTCTATGTCTACTAGCAGTCTGATAATTTACTCTCTGTCTACTAGCAGTCTAATAATTTACTCTCTGTCTACTAGCAGTCTGATAATTTACTCTCTGTCTACTAGCAGTCTGATACTTTACTCTCTGTCTACTAGCAGTCTAATACTTTACTCTCTGTCTACTAGCAGTCTGATAATTTACTCTCTGTCTACTAGCAGTCTGATAATTTACTCTCTGTCTACTAGCAGTCTAATACTTTACTCTCTGTCTACTAGCAGTCTGATAATTTACTCTCTG